TTAGGGTTGAGGGTTTAGGGCCTACGGTGAAACTGGAAACTGCTTTGGCAATGCTAAACCCCGGGCTTCATAGCGCTACAGCCCAAAAAAACAAAAACCCTAAACCTCCAAGTTTCGGTTTCATGTCCAATGCATCATCTTGGCTTCCTGCTCCACCCTAAACCCTAAACCTTAAACGCTTATCCCTAAACCCTAAACCTTAAACCCTAAACCCTAAATCCTAAACCCTAAACTCTAAAAACCTTAAATCTTGGCTTCCTGCTCCATGTGGACTTCGGATCTACGGTTCAGGGCATTAGGTTTTCGGTTTCAGGGTTTAGGGTTTGGGGTTTAAGGTTTGGGGTTTAGGTTTAGGGTTTAGGGTTTAAGGTTTAAGGTTCGGATCTAGGGTTTAGGGTTTTGGGTTCCGGGATGGGCTTGGATTTCGGGTCTAGACCTGAGGGTTCAGGGTTTAAAGTTTAGGGTTGCAGGGTTTAGGGTTTCAGGGTTTAGGGTTTAGGGCTAAGGGTTTAGGGTGAGGTTTTGGGACTTTCTGGTGTAGACACCATGCACCGGCGATTCCACGGCTACCTCGGCCGGATCATGCAAGACAGGGGCAGCAAAGATGCCCTGCTTTTCAAGGCATTCATCACAGTTAGGTCAGTGGGCAATCGAACCACCCATCAAACTGGTCTTAGCCACCCGGCAAAAGAAGAAGGCATGCTGACTTGTACAACAAGAGCTCTTCCGGGTATCTCGGTATCTCTACTAAGCGTAAGCCCCGCTAAACCCTCCAAACCCCGAAACCCTAAACCCTTATCGCCCAAACCTCTCCGAAAACTCCAAAGACCTAAACCGTAAAATCCGAAGCCCGAACAGAGGCTTCAGGTCAGACGGGCCACAAACGATGAGGGCCCGTCCAACACAACAGGCAGGTTTAGGGGCTACTTAAAGGCTCACGGGACTTGGCAACTGGGCTTTAGATACGGTACCCATGCTTATACATACCTCATAGTTACCTCTAACCCCAGTCAATGTACCTGTAACTGTATTTCCTAAGGGTTTTCGGGTTGAAGGGTTTGGGGGTTTGGGCTTTTGGTCGGCTTCAAGGTTTCGGGGCCTGAAGCTTAATTGCTCAAAAGGACCTGTCACGACTCTGCTACCCAGACCCCCGGAAGGATCTAGAAAGTAGAACCCCTAATTTGGGACCCTATACTACTAAAGGGTCTTTATAGGAACCCCCCTAAAAAGGGATCTACTTTTTGGATCCTCCCGGAGGTCTGGGTAGATGATTTCCACTGGCCCGTGAATTCAGCTTGCTGCGCGGAGGAAAAGGAAGAGACTCTGTGACTGGAGCTACCCTACATCCTAAACACCCTACACCCTAAACCCTAAACCCTAAACCCTAAACCCTCAACCCTAAACCCTAAACCCTAAACCAGCAGCCCACCCGAAACACGGGCGGAGGCCGAACTCGCAGGTGCTTGCCTGCGGTGGATCGGCAACCTCTGGCCCTTTTAAGTGCGCTCCCAAGAACCTGAGGGCTTAAGACTCCCCAGAGAGCCCAATACCCCTTAAATAAGGAATATACCTTAAATTATATGGGCCTTAATATTATGATTTAAGGTATATTCCTAACTTAAGGGGTATTGGGCTCTCTGGGCCCTTATTAACCTCAGTAGTAACCCCAATAGAAACCCTTAAAGAAAAGCATCTGGATTCAGGAATCCGCCGCCGTCTTCATCAGCAGCACCGAGTGCCAGCTCCACGGACTCTCCAGCCTGCTATGGGGACTCGAAAGAACACCTAAACATAGGGATCCTTCTACTGGTGTGGTATGCATATCTATAAGGGGGATTCCAGAAAACCCTAAACCTTAAACCTCCAGAAAACCTGAATCGCGAGATCCTTGTGTCCTTTGGGCCCGTATGGTAACTCGGAGACTCCATAAACCCCTAATTAAGGGTTTAGGGTTAGGGGTTGAG